TTTGCATCCGAGTCCTGACCGAACTGATCTGGATCTTAAGCTCGAGCTGCCTCAGCACATAGTAGCTGCCCCAGAGCTAATTGACAGGGGAACATGCCAGGAGGACGCGCCGCGAAACGTCCCAAGGGACGCGCCAGGCGACATGCCAGGGGACGTGCCATGGGGACGCACCGCGGGACGTGCCAAGGGGACGCGCTACGGAATGTGCTGGGGACAACCGTTTCGCTCGAGACATCCTGTCAAAATCCTCATTCTAGACATCCGCCTGAGCAACCTGGACACGTGAAAACAAACGTTTCGCTCAACACATCCTCAACACATTCTCATGCTAGACATCCGCCTGGGCGAACTGGACACGTGAAAACAAGTAGTTCGCTCGAGACATCCTCAACACATCTTCATGTGAGACGTCCGCCTGGGTGACCTGGGCACGTGAAAACTAGCGTTTCGCTCGAGACGTTGTCAACACCTCCTCATTCTAGACATCCGCCTGGGCGACCTGTACACGTGAAAGCAAACGTCTCGCTGTCTTTTTTTTTTTTTTTTTTTTTTGTTTTTTTTTTTTTTTTTTTTTTTTTTTTTTTTTTTTATTTTTTTTGTTTTTTTTTTCGTTTTCCGAGGTTTTATTTTCGAGACATCCTCAACACATCTGCATGCTAGACATCCGCCTGGGCGACCTGGACACGTGAAAACAAGCGTATCTCTCGAGACATTCTCAACACATTCTCATGCTAGGCATCCGCCTGGGCAACCTGGACACGTGCAAACAAGCATCTCGATCGAGACTTTCTCAACACCTCCTCATTCTAGACATCCGCCTGGGCGATGAGGACGCGTGAAACCAAGCGTCTCGCTCGAGACATCCTCAACAATTCCTGGCGCTTGACCTCTGCCTGGGCAACCTGGAGGCGTGAAACCAAGCGTCTCGCTCGAGACATCCTCAAGACCTGGGCACGTGAAACCAAGCATTTCACTTGAGAAATCCTCTAAATTCTGGTCCCCGGGAGAAGACAATATATAACACAAAACAAGCGTTTCGCTCGAGACATCCTCAACAAATTCTGAGAAACAAGCGTTTCGCTCGAGACATCCTCAAATTTTAATTCGCCGGCCCTCTTCCCACTCGTTATTTATCGCAAAAGAAATGCGCCGGCCCTCTTCCCGTCAAACCCGGGGGGAAACCATCTAAAAGAGAACCCTGGGCTTATGCCCTTTCCGGGAAAGGAATATAGAAATGTAACGCATGGCAACGTTTTCAAAGACACCTGACTGGGTGACGGGCAAGTGCAATGCTGATTGTATCGATCTTGATGTACCGTGCCGAGGGCTGTGCTGTGCTGCACCGTGCTGAATTGCGATGTGCCATGCCGCGGTTGTGCTCTATTGCGTCGTGGATCGAGTCTTCCTTTGCATCCGAGTCCTGACCGAACTGATCTGGATCTTAAGCTCGAGCTGCCTGAACACATAGAAGCTGCCCCAGAGCTAACTGACAGGGGGACATGCCAAGAGGACGCGCCGCGAAACGTCCCAAAGGACGCGCCAGGCGACGTGCCAGGGGACGTGCCATGCGGTCGCACCGTAGATCGTGCCAAGGGGACGCGCTACGGAACGTGACTTGGATGTGCCACGGATGTGCCAGGGGACGCGCACGCGGTGCAGGGGGACTCGCAAGGGACGCCACGGATAACGTGCCAAGGGAAGTGCCAGGTTGCAATGTGATTGTTTCGATCCTTGACGTTCCGTGCACGAAGTCTTTGTTGTTGTGCACTTGCTGAAGGCAAATCTGCCTGCGCGATTGTGCTCTATAGCGTTGTGGATCGAGTCCTCCTTTGCATCCGAGTCCTGACCGAACTGATCTGGATCTTAAGCTCGAGCTGCCTGAACACATAGTAGCTGCCCAGAGCTAATTGACAGGGGGACATGCCAGGAGGACGCGCCGCGAAACGTCCCAAGGGACGCGCCAGGCGACGTGCCAGGGGACGTGCCATGGGGTCGCACCGTAGGACATGCCAAGGGGACGCGCTACGGAACGTGCTCAGGACAAGCGTTTCGCTCGAGACATCCTGTCAAAATCATCATTCTAGACATCCGCCTGAGCGACCTGGACACGTGAAAACAAACGTTTCGCTCGACACATCCTCAACACATTCTCATGCTAGACATCCGCCTGGGCGAACTGGACACGTGAAAACAAGTAGTTCGCTCGAGACATCCTCAACACATCTTCATGTGAGACGTCCGCCTGGGTGACCTGGGCACGTGAAAACAAGCGTTTCGCTCGAGACGTTTTCAACACCTCATTCTAGACATCCGCCTTGGCGACCTGTACACGTGAAAGCAAACGTCTCGCTCGAGACATCCTCAACACATCTTCATGTTAGACATCCGCCTGGGCGACCTGGACACGTGAAAACAAGCGTATCTCTCGAGACATTCTCAACACATCCTCATGCTAGGCATCCGCCTGGGCAACCAGGACACGTGCAAACAAGCATCTCGATCGAGGCTTCCTCAACACCTCCTCATTCTAGACATCCGCCTGGGCGACGAGGACGCGTGAAACCAAGCGTCTCGCTCGAGACATCCTCAACAAATCCTGGCGCTTGACCTCTGCCTGGGCAACCTGGAGGCGTGAAACCAAGCGTCTCGCTCGAGACATCCTCAAGACCTGGGCACGTGAAACCAAGCATTTCACTTGAGAAATCCTCTAAATTCTGGTCCCCAGGAGAAGACAATATATAACACAAAACAAGCGTTTCGCTCGAGACATCCTCAACAAATTCTGAGAAACAAGCGTTTCGCTCGAGACATCCTCAAATTTTAATTCGCCGGCCCTCTTCCCACTCGTTATTTATCGCAAAAGAAATTCGCCGGCCCTCTTCCCGTCAAACCCGGGGGGAAACCATCTAAAAGAGAACCCTGGGCTCAAGCCCTTTCCGGGAAACATGATGGACCCACGAACCCGGAAAGGGATATAGACATGTGGAGCATGGACACGTTTTCATGATACCCAACTGGGCAAAACCTCACGAAACATCCCACGAGACACCTCACGAAACAGCCCACGAGACACCTCACGAAACATTCCACGAGACACCTCACGAAACATTTCACGAGACACCCCGCGAAACATTCCACGAGACACCCCACGAAACATTCCACGGGGAGAAATGGCATCCATCAACCTAGGCGGCTGTGGTCGTTGCTGGGGAGTGGTTCGTGCTGGGGTGTGGGTCGTGCTGGGGGTAGTGGTCGTGCTGGGTGGTGGGGTGGTTTCGGGTCGGAGTTGGTCGTGTGGGGGGGTCGTGCTGGGGCGTGTGTGTTGGGCGGTGGTCGATGGCTGGAGGTAGTGGGTCGTGCTGGGGTGCGGTCGTGCTGGGGTGTGGTCTTGCTGGGGAGGGGTCGTGCTGGGGTGTGCTCGTGCTGGGGTGGGGTCGTGCTGGGGTGTGGTCGTGCTGGGGTGTGGTCGTGCTAGGGTGGGGTCGTGCTGGGGTGGGGTCGTGCTGGGGTGTGGTCGTGATGGGGTGTGGTCGTGCTGGGGTGTGGTCGTGCTGGGGCGTGGTCGTGCTGGGGTGGGGTCGTGCTGGGGTGGGGGCGTGCTGGGGTGTGGTCGTGCTGGGGTGGTGGTCGTTGATGGGGGGTGGTCGTGCTGGCGGGGGTGGTCGTGCTGGGGGGGTGGTCGTGCTGGGGCGTGGTGGTCGTGCTGGGGCGTGGTAGTGTGGGGCGTGTCGGTGCGTGTGTTGTGGGGTGAGGTCGTGCTGGGGTGTGGTCGTGCTGGGGTGTGGTCTTGCTGGGGTAGGGTCGTGCTTGGGGTCGGGTCGTGCTGGGGTGTGGTCGTGCTGGGGTATGGTCGTGCTGGGGTGGGGTCGTGCTGGGGTGGGGTCGTGCTGGGGTCTGGTCGTGCTGGGGTGTGGTCGTGCTGGGGTATGGTCGTGCTAGGGTGGGGTCGTGCATTTCGCTCGAGACATCCTGCCAAAATTCCAGGAAATCGTACAAAAACAAAAGGAATTAGTCGAGACATCATCGAAATTCCTTCGCGCGGGGCGCTTTTCCGCGTCGCGGTCGGCTCTGCAAAACAAGCGTTTCGCTCGAGACATCCTCGGCAAACTCTGCGGAGCAAGCGTTTCGCTCGAGACATCCTCAACACACGAAAAAGTGGCCCGCACCCTGTGATTTATCGATCGGGATTTCAAAAACAAGCGTTTCGCTCGAGACATCCTCAAATTTTAATTCGCCGGCCTCCTTCGACCTCGTTATTTATCAGGGAAAAAATTCGCCGGCCTCCCTCAAGTTGGCACCGGGGGACAGGTTTACCAACTAAAAGAGAACCCTGGGCTCTTGCCCTTTCCGGGAAAAACACACAGACACAATTAATCGGCGATTCCCAGAAAACATGGGAAAATATGGGAAGTGGGGGGAAGACAAAGACCCAGAAAACATGGGAAAATATGGGGATATTTTTATTTGTGTGTATTTATTTGTGTGTCCCAGGGCCCCTTCAAAAATGTTCGAGTGGTCTGGTGTCTTATCACGAGCAACACGCTGCTGGGTCCCCCACGGCGGCGCGTCATCGGTATTGTCTACGCCCGTCCCAGTTGCACAGCGTGGAAGCCTCGAGGAGTCGAGGCGAGCTCTTCCCATCGTGCGGGCGGGGGTGGGGGAGTTGGATCGGGGGGGAAAACACATTCATGCGTACATGATTTGTCGTGGTTTTCGGAAGAACGCATTGCGCGAATGTTGGTAGCACGAGGCTGGCGTCGTGGAGCCTAGGGGCCGTGTTTATGTACATGGCTGGGCGCGTCTTCTGTAGGGCTCCTATTTCGGGCGGGGGCAGTGTCAGGACAAGTCGTCCCAGAGCGTTCCCGGACGTTCTCAGAGCATTCTTGAGCGCCTCCTGCAGAGCCCCTGGATCTCAGAAACCCCCCATGTATATCGAGCCCGTTGATGTCCTGTGCTCTCCCTGCGGCGCGCGGGCGCCCGTTGGTCGCTGCCTGCGCAGAGGCGCCCTGGGCGCAGCCCTCGCAGCTGGCGCGGCAGCTGCCGCAGTCGACGCAGGCGCGCTGTCGCGGCGCGCCCACACGCCTCGGGAGGTCTTCAGTTCCGAAGAGGGAGGGAGGGAGGGAGGGAGGGAGGGAGGGAGGGAGGGAGGGAGGATGGACGAAAAGGAGGGGGAGGAGGAGAGATGAGGGAGGGAGGAAAGATGAGGGAGGGAGGGAGGGAGGAGGAGGAGGGGGGAAATAGGGAGGTGGGAGGGGGATGTGAAGGAGGAAGGGGAGGAGGAGGAGGAGGAGGAGGAGGAGGAGAAGGGGAAGGAGGAGGAGAGGAGGAGGAGGGAGGTGGGAGGGAGGAGGGGGAGAGAGGGAGGTGGGGAGAGAGGGAGGGGAGGGGGATGAGGAGTAGGAGGAGGAGGAGGAGGAGGAGGAAGAGGAGGAGGAGGAGGAGGGAAGAGAGAGGAGGAGGGAAGGGAGAGGAGGAGGAGGAGGAGGAGGTCCTGAGCCCCGAGGAGGGAGGAGGGAGGAAGGGAGTAAGAGGGTGAGGTGGAGGAGGAGCAGCAGGAGGAGGAGGAGCAGGAGGAGGAGGAGGAGCATCGAGCCCTGAGCCCAGAGCAGGAAGGCAGGGAGGGAGAGATGTTGTAATGACCCCTTCCTGCAAATTCCCTCTTCACGGGCTGCTACAAGGATGCATTTTCAGTGAGGGAAGCGCCCCGTTTGCAGACAACCGTTTGGACATCCTGGACCGTACGAGAACACCGAAGGCAGAGGAGTGGAGGAGGGGGGAGGATGAGGAGGATTTTCGAGAATAAAGCAACACCCGACCCCAATCACACAATGGAGTCGTAGCCGGAAATTTGCTTAGTATCATTCGTTGCTTACAGCGGGTGCCGAGGGAGAGCCCAGTGGTGATTCGGGGACCCTCGAGCAGATACCCGTCAGGCCAAAAAGGCAAAGATCAGTAGCACATTCGCCTGTTGCATTTGCCTCCATTAGCTCGCGCATCTCGGTCCGGGCTCGTCGCTGAAAGCCTGGAGAGTGTCAAGGGGGAGCTCCACGGAGGTTCCTCGAACAGAGACCCTCCTTCTCCATTTTCTTGGAATTGGGAGTCTCAGCTAGAAAAGGAGGTGGGGAGATGCGCCGAGGAGGAAAGACCATGCCGAAAGAGGAAACGGTGGGGATGGAGATGCAAGGCCTTCACGCAGGTTTCCTTCCCGCTACCCTTTCGGCCTGACGGAACAGGAGCTCGAGTTGTCTTGGATCGGGGGCAACCATTACACAAAGGGGGCCTGCGTGGCGAAGGGAAAAAGGGGGGCGGGATGATGAGCTCAGATCCCTTCCGCATTTCAAACGAGCATGAAGTATTGATACTGATAATTTTCAAGATTTTCAGGTTTTCCTGTTCTTCCGCGCGGGCTCCAGGGACAGATGGTCGAGCGCATTCCGTCGCGCAGGCTCTTTGCATGATGTGCGCGGTGCATTTTTCGCGCATCGGAGCGCCCTCGGAGATTCCAAGCTGCATGCTGTGTTGCTCTTGGGGAGTCCGCGAGTCGCAGCTGCCGTGGCGCTGTTTTCGAGGCAACCCTTTCGAGTGCTTTTCGCGGGCGCAACGCGCGGCGCGCGCTGCGCCCAATCGCGCGCGGCGCGGTGCGTGAATCAGCCGGCCGCGCCCGTCGAACCGCCTGGAAATCATTTCTGGATTGGAGAATGTTTTCGGAGAGCGCTTCCGTTTATTTGTTGGCGCAAGCGGTTCCGGAATTTTTCAAAAAGGAGCCTGGCAATTTTCAACAAACAGTTTTGAGGGGTGGACTGCGCCCGCCGCGCAGGACATCTGAAGAATTCTGGAATCCCGAATTTTTCAAAATTGATCCCAGACTGTTTCAAAATCGACCCCGGATCTTTTCAAATTCGACTACGGCATTTTTAAAATAGTTGGCCCGCCGTTTTCAAAAACGCCCCCGGATTTTTTCAAATTTACCCCCGGAGAATTGTCCAGAGTCGCGCGCGATTTGCCTTACCAGATTTTTGGAAATCCGCCGAGGCGCGCGGTGCGCGGCGGCGGGCGATGGGACGGTGCGCCAACGTCCCCCCCGCGCTCGGCAACGAGAAGGGGGATCAGCAGGTGCCAAATAGCCCGTTACGGGCGACCATTCGATTGCGAATGGGTGACCGACCAGCGGCGCCAGCCAGAGTAGACAACATTCGGCGCGAAGTGCGCCCCGCGCGAAGGCTGTTAGAAATCCCGGAATCCCCGGAACGTATCAATAGCACGCTGCGTTTATACATTTATCCCGTCTTAGCACTGTCGATTACAAGAACTCTGGACACTACTGAAGTTGCCTTGGTATTTAAGACTCCTGCACGGTCATCCTTTACGCTGGCAGAGGGTGCCGACGGGGATTGTCCAATGGAGGCCCTCGATCCGAGACTTTCTCGTTACTTCTAATTCAACGGATCCGTCTTTCTGTACTTCGCAAACAAAAGATATGTTGCACATGCGCTGCGCCAAACAACCTCCGACCTACCTTCCGTGTGACCTCCAACCCCATCTCACCCTCTAATCGCAGGCGCGTGTTGGGCCACCGTCATGCTCAACATTTGGAAAAATTGTCGAGGGGGAGCTCCACGGTGGGCTCTCGAACAGAGACCCTGTGCGCCGACGAACTTGACATTGAGTCTTAACCAGAAAAAAAGGGGGAAGGACGAGGAGGGAAGTGCATGTTGAAATCGGCCGCCCTTTCAGCGTTATCACTTACCACAAGACCTGGGCACTGCTGAACTTGCACTGCTTTGCTAGACTCTGCAGGGCTATCCGCTATGCTTGCAGAGGGTGTCGGGGGAGACTGTCCCACGTAGGGTCGATCAGAGACTCTTCCCACATCGCAAACCACAGTGAATCATTCGCTGCACATCCGCTGCGCCGAATACGTAGGCGGCCCAGGCTTGCACTTGCGCCACCGATGTGGCAGATTTCTTAGTTGCTACGGCCTTTGAACATTGCTGCATATATCCCCTGTGGATATGTCAACCTCCTCCCCTAACAACCGAACCTTCCCCCATTCACTATTCGGCAACATGCTTGACAAACAAAGTGGCGAAGGCTTCTGCGCGCTTAAGGAACCAATCGCGCCAGTGGTCGAAGTCCTCAACTGTGGTGCTCTCTTGGAGCCAATATTCAATATTATTCAGAAAATGCTGTACCTTTGGTACACCGTGCTTTGCCTCGCCAGATTCTCTGAAACGTGAATGCGCTGCATGCAGCGCTGTTTGGCTATCATCCTGGCACTTGTCTGCATGCATTGCAGTGAACATGACCTGATCCTGTCCCTATCACTGGCCACCGTTGCTTGAGGTATTTCGTGCACGTTGGCGGTGCAACTGAGGATAACTGCAACTGGGACCGATGAGTTTGACTTGAGGTTGGATCCGTGGCGATGGCCTGCGCTTCTGCTGACGCCTCACGCTTGGCAGTCTTGCGTTTTGGGGAGCAAGACCTGCGTGGGCGACTGCTCGGCGCCCGCGTCTGGTTACACGGCGGATTAGCAGCAGGTTCCTGCTTGGCTGGGATTGGTTTGGGCTTGAGTTTGTGTTTCTTTGCTGTAGCCTCCTCCCGCGGAAACAGATGCTGAGTCTCTGGCTCCTTTGTACTGGAATCGCGAGTTTCTGGAATGTCCTGCCGTCTAAACGAGAATCCTTGCGCCTTCGGCGTATCACAATCTCCTGGAGGCTTCTCTAGTAGCTCGCTTGTCCCGTCAAAGTGGAGAAAGCAGACCGGTCTTTTCTGTCAGCCGAATTTTCTTTCACCTCCGCCTGAATTGTCTTAGACACTGGGATGGAAGCGGGCACCGTAGACGTGACGAGAGGCTGAGGTAAAGTGTGGGCAGCGAGCTGCGAATTGCGCGTACACTTTTCGGACGGGGCTTGGACGAAGGTAAATCCGTTCAAGAGCGTTCCGGAACGCCCTTTGAGCGTTCTGGGATGCTTTGAGAAGGCCGCGGCGCCCGGGACATCTTCCAGATGCGCCAGATCTCAGAGATTTGGGATTTATCCTCACCCGATTTGATCCTCGTCTTAGCTTCGTCTGATCCAGCTGCAGTGCGATGTCCATCCTGTGCTGGGAGCATCTTATGTTGCTTGCTCCTCCTGGGCCTTCAAAAATGGCGTGAGCCACAAATGGTTATTTCAAAGGAAAGCACGAGGGAGGATGGAGCGGAGGAGGAGGAGGACGAGGAGGAGGAGGAGGAGGGGGAGGAGGAACATGACGAAGAGGAATAGCACCAGGAGCATGAGGAGGATTTCGTATGAGGATGGGGACGAGGAGGAGTGGGATGAGGAGATAAAGGAGGATGAGCAGGAGGAGCAGGAGGAGGAGGAGGAGGAGGAGCAGGGCGAGGAGACGAGTCTGGGGAGGAGGGTCCGAGCCCCGAGTCATTGGGGCAGGGGGCGGTCAGGGATACCTCCTGATTCGGTCCTCCCGTTTTCGCGCCGGAGTTGCACTGGATTGCTCTCCGCTTGAGTTCTCAGGATCACATCCTGCTCCATGGAGGATGTTGTCCAGTCCTCTCCTGAAACAGGAGTCTTCCCGGATCATGCGGTTCCAGGGTTTTCTCCGATCACCTTTGGGGACACCAAACAGGACCTTACCTTGTCCAGGTCTATCTTTTTGAATTCGGATGCCCAACCGAGAGATCTGACCGATGTACCCTCTTCCTGCAGGGGCCAGGATATGGGGGACTTCGGCCCAGCGGGGGATACATCTACCCCCTCTCCCTGGTGTTTCCTCCTTTCGGCCTTCGGGAGTAGTTTTCGGGCCCAGGGACCAACAGAAACGGGTCCGGGGCGAAAAAGAACACACCCGTGGAAGTGGTCGGGATTTCTGGGGCCGCGCACAGAACAAAACAGATCGGCGGATGGAAGGGTTTGAGGGTTTCGCATGTTTTCACAGGTTCTCGGTGCTGCTGTTGCCTCGGAGTGCCCTCCAGCAGCTGCGCCTCGCCGCGGGCGTTTTCAGGGGTGCCCAGATCGTACCCAACTGCTGCCAGAGAGCCGACCTGTGACTCCAGA